ATGCAGTCTTTAATAATAAATAAACATTTGGATAAACTTCTTGTACAACTGATTTTAACAGTTGAGATTGTGTTTTTTCTTCAACATTCATACCGCTTATGGATTTGTCTGAATTTTGAGCATTTATCAAACACCTTTTTGCTACTTTTAGTTCACACTTTAATGCATCTTCATCTATATTAAATAAAGACTAGAACAAAAATCAAAAGAACTATGTTTAGGTCAAAGTATTATTTAAATGTAAAAATATAAAAAATACTCCACCGATTATGTGTCAAATTATTTTAATATTAGTTGTCTGCTATTTAATTACCTTATAACTATTAATAAAATAGGAACTTTTTTCATAATCAAGTTCTAAAAAGCTTTCAACTGACTGGGCTAATTCTAAGCTTTGTGTTGAAAATCTGGATTTCATATTGACTATTAAATTATCAAGAATAGGGAAAAATGCATGAACTTTCCAAAAATCAATTGAAGTAATTTCACTATTTTGTTGAAAGTTCTGATCAATAGCACTTGTTGTGGTGCTCACCACATAATCATTTAGTTGTGTTACCTCTCTTCTCTTTCTCTAGGACACTGAAAAAATTAAATAATAGTATTTATAATTGCATAACTTTTAAACTTTAGTTAAATTAGTGATACGGGGTAAACAATAACATACGTCTAGTAAGAATTTGCAAATCTATACAGTTTTCTATTGAAAAGTTTTCAATTTCTTCCCAAAGATTTGAAAAACTTTCCGAATTTCTGCTATCTTCAAATGTTTTAATTACTCCAATAACAGTATTAGCAGCTTTTCCTAATGTTTCATTTTTCATTTGTAATTTACAACTCAAAATTTGAATGATACTTAATACATAATTCATGATATGTAAATTTACAACAAATTCTCCTTTCAACATCATGGCCAATATTCCTATAAAAATATATAATATACAATTTTAACATAGGTATGTCATAATTTATTACCAGAAATCTAATATTTACCAATAGCTCGACTAACATCTCGATCATTATTTTCTTCTACCTCTTCTTGTAAAACATCTACAATTAATTTGAAGTTTTCAATAACAGCTTTACAATTTTTATGCCTACACACCCAACGTGTATCACTAATACTTGATAATGTTACAAGATTCATTTTTAGTTTGACTTGCATATCTTGAAGTTTTTTATTCATAGTAGGCATAGAAAAATGTATATAAATTGCTTCTAAAGCATTGAAAACGTTTTTACTGTACTATAACCATAAAATATTTTAAATTTTATAATATATACATAAATAGATGATACCTGGTACCTACATATAATAATTAATAGTACATACCTTCACATTTTTACACATATCAACCACCACTAAGTTTAGCCTGTGGGCCATACAATGAATGTAAACCGCACTAGGATGATACTTCTTAAGTAATGTTTGCACACCTCCTCTACAACCAGACATCACACTGGCCCCATCATAGGATTGAGCAACGATAGGAATATTATCCAAGTTTAATTCTTTCAAGAAAGATAAAATAAAACTTAATAATGAAGCAGCAGTTTGGCTCTGTGATACATTTACAAAGCCCAGAAAACGTTCAAGAATTTCAAAATCTTTTGTGTATCTAATACAGATAGACATTTGCTCTTGCTTATGACACCTTTGAAAAATTACTTCATTATTATTATACATTCTTTATTTATAAATAAATAGAAACATTGTATAGTCTGTATTAATATTTTAATTACCTTGCTTCATCACACATAATAGAAAAACATCCAGCATCCTTAACTTCAGAAATTATCATACTTTGAACATTATTCGCACATAAACTAATAAGTTCGTTTTGTATTAACGGACTAGTGTAATTTATTGAACAGTTAAATAATGTTTTAAACTCTGGATTGTGGTTGGAAAATAATTTACACATTTCAATAAAATTTCCTAAATACCAGTATTACAATTAAAACATTAAAAATCAAAAGGAAAAATTCAGTTTTTATAATTTATATGATAGATATTTGTATTAATTAGATAGGTACCTTGATTAGGTGAGTTTGTGTCTTCTTTGTGTCCACGAAACGCAATCCCTTGGCGAGCCAAAAACAGTGCAATGTTAATAAGTTTTTTTAAATAATTCCTATTATTTTCAACAAATTGTTGATGAGCAATTGATATTTGAGAACTAACAAATCCAGCAACCACACTATTCTTGTAACCTGACATTCTAGAAATATTTAACATATGCTCTTTAGTAGCAGCATGTGCTTTTAGTTTTGAAATGTTTGAATTTGCACCTCCCATCTAATTGATAAATAAAATTATTAAAAATATTTGTTAATTAAAAAATTAAAAGTTATTAAATACTAGATTCACTACATTCACCATACACATCACTACATCAGTTTAAATTTATATGTTTGTTGTTTATATATAATATATTTTTAGAACTAAAATACAGCTGCATATTTAATTTGTTAATACCTTTTTCCAATTTGTAAAGCCAGTTTTTGTAAATACTTTATCAACATCACCGCAACCAAAATTTCGGCAGCAAAAACAAAATGCAGCATTTTTTTCTAAGCTGTACTCGAGCCAAGAGTATTCTTTTAAATATTTTGCACTAAAAGATCTGTTTTGTTTTCCAGCTACTGTCATAGGATAAGCCTAAATATAATAGATAGTAATTAATAATTTGTAATAATAATACAACATAGGTAATTTCTGTATAGTTAGTAGTTACTGTATTATAATAATATTATATAGGTACCAAGGTACCTACATTAAAGATAAATCTACATACAAAATAATAGGCTTTAAAGTTTTTGATTTGGGTATTTAAAAAAAATATTTTGTATAGGTAATGTAAAAAATAGTGAACTTAATGTATTTTAATTAGGTATTAAATAGTTAACAAATACCTCTATTTTTATTTTATAATTACAAACATTACGGTCTTAATTAATAGAATATTGGTAAATTATTACAACTCACATCTAAAATCGGTTTTACAGGACCAGTTTCTTTGCTTCCCAAATCGCTCACATTATTACTATCTTTAATAATTTTTGAATTAATATTTAAAGTGCTTATCTCACTTTCTGATTTTGTTGATTCAGCAACTTGTTTTTGATTATAACCAAGAACCTGCAGTTCAATAATTAAAATTTAAAATGAAATTTAAACAGAAATATCAAATAATAATTATCCTATAACTAATAAATAGGTAATTACGTAAATCGTATTACCTCAATTGTTTGTATATCTGGTAAGACTTTCATTGATGATTGGTTTTTTGGTGCATCATTATTATTTTTCTTAGCACTACTTGCTTTTGATTTAAATATACTGAACATTTTAATAAATAGGTAATGGGTAAATTCAATAAATTTAACATATACGCAAAAAAAAAAATATTTGTTACTGAGACACTGTCTAGTACACTAATGACGCAGACGCATCAAGCATATCGCATAGTGCTTGTAAATTGAAAATTGTTAGAAAATATTATATAATAGTACTATGAACACTAACCAGTAACTGCTGTACGATATAAGTATATAACTAATATGTCTATACAAAAATACGATAATACGGGTAGGTACCTATTTAAAGATAACAAATATAATAAGTGGGTTTTGGTCTTCGGGACATACAATACAATCCTATAAATACTTTGTAGTTTGTGTAAAACTTTTAACTGATAAACAATCATAATAAGTCTCATACCCGCGTGGCCGCGTCGTACATTCAATAATTAATGTACCATATTTAGCCATATGTGAACAATACTTTACTCATTAGTATTTAATATTTATTGACTCAATACAATACGTCAAGACAATTTCTTCCGCTATAACTATAGGTAACCAATTACTTACAAATTTGTTTTTGGTACATCCACAATAAAACAATATCAATATGTATAAAATATTTATTAATTATGAGTTATGACATATGAGTTATTTTAAACATTTTTTTTTCTTATTTTTTCGGATTTGGGTTTTAGCTACAGGCTCAATTTGAGGCTAAAATGTAAAACCTTCTAGGGGGCTAAATACAACTGCAGGGGGGCTAAGCCCCC